GAAGTCACTAAAAAGTGACTCGCTAACAGTCCTGCTATACCGCCAAACTGGTTTACTCACCATCGGATTTGATGGTGGGAACTATTACTCAATTAACTGATAATTCTGGTCAAAACTCTGTTAGAGTTCATCATAAAACTCCCCAGGATATTCCTTGGTGTTATCTCTAGAATTCATCTGCTCAAAATTTGCTTGGAAAAAAATTATAAAATTATCTGAATAGTTCTTCAAAGTGACTGTGTGTGTGTGTGTACTTTCTCTACAATGTCACTTTTATGGCCATTGTAGACAGCTTTAGTCCGGAAGTTAGAAGGTGATAGCTCTATTGCAGATCCAGCAACCCATTTCAGAATGTCTGGAGAGTCACGCCCATTCCGAGGTTACTTTCACTTACAATAAGCCCCGCATGTACGCATCACCGTCATCAAATGGATATTGGTGATACATACAGGTCCAGGTTCGAAAATATTCTTTTCAACCCTGGCATGTATTTAGTTTAATTTTGATATTTAATTTGTAAACAAAAATTTGGACAGCTCTCACCATATTCTGCTCTTCCGCCGCCGTTAATTGCTTCTTTTGGAATTCCTTGGGCTTTTTCTCTAACGCTTCTTATTTCATTCCGTGCTTTACTGGCAATTTCCTTCCGCAGATCGTCCTTGGTTGGTTGGTTCTAATATGATTCCGCCTTTTTTGGTCGGTTCGATGTCCACCATATGTTATTGAATTGCCATGGTGATCTGGGATGAGGCTCACGTCCAAAGTCGCTGGTCCACCGATCAGCTTCAAGAAGTGTCAGTTTCATCAGATTCCCCAACTAACCATACTCAAGCAAGGTTGCAAAGACTCATTTCAGCTAAAACAATGTTTTTCTAAATTATGAAATAATTAGATGTCATGATCAAATTTTGAATTGGTAGGATACAAGAAGAGGTTGCAAAGAATGTGTTTGACATATTAAACCTGTTTATTTCACTTCATGAGAGTCACAATCAGCGATTTTTCACAAACTCACTCACTCACTCAGCGATCAGCAAATCGCTGATTGTGACTCATAGAAAGCAACATTTACAGGTTTTATGTTTCCAACGCATACTTTGTAACCTCTTCTTGTAAGTTACAAGTAAAACATGCCATCAGACCATCTTTTGGTTTTATTATTCCGAAAAACATTATTTTAGCTGAAATGAGTCTTTGCAACCTTGTACTCAAGCAAAATAGTATATTTTTTGCAGAATTTACAATGCACGGGTTTTTTTCCGGTTACTTCGAATTCCCGTTTTTCCTTTATTAAAGAGACTTTCAACCTTGGGCTGGTTTGTCTCTGTAAATCCCAGATGGGGATTCCCCTATTTGATGGGTGATCGAACCTGACGTTTGTTTTTTCCGTGGAGTTTTTTGTTATCTATAATCGGTTGCTGATCTGGCCAAAGCCAGGCCCAGAAGACTATTTCTAGTTCCTCAGTGAGTTCACTAAGACAGAAGAAACCCAGCGAGAGCTGCATCTCATTGTATCTAGTTCTATGTCCTGCTATTTCTCGCTGAGAAGCAGTCCCGAAGACAAGTAGAACCTCCATGAGGCATCCCATCATTTGTTGAGTCGCAGCGTTGAACCTGACTATTGGCCACGAAAAGGCTTGCCAGAGCACATCATACATATATCTGAACATTTGTTTATCTCAAATCGACGGAACACATTCCGCGCAACTACTATAAATCGGACTTGTTCAAGTTGATCTTTGTCAAGTTTCGTCTACAATTTGGACTTCTATATCAACACATGTCAAGCAGCCTTCAGGTTCAATTGGCTAAACTTGGTGAGTTCGTTCCATTTTGTAAATTTTTATCTTTTCAAACCAGTAACGTTGGAATTTTACCCTTTTTGTGGTGTGTTACTGGTATAAGATCTACGACCGAACCCTAGTCGTGACAACTTCAAACTAGGGAATCTGGATTTTCCAGTAATCAAAAGATCACATTTTAGTCCTTGTTACTTTTTATGACTTGATAATTGTGACAAGACTCGGGTAGTGACCACCGCACCGTTATGCATTTCTATATTGTATATTCAAATCAAAAATATTGGTTATGTTCATAGAGTTTACATAATCCTTTTCCCTTTGTCCTTCTCCTTTTCCTTTCCCTCTTCTCTTTTCAGAAAGCGAGTAATGGCGCTATAGCCATAAGCCATAAAAGGCTAGGACAATAGTTAGTGCTCATGTCCCAACCGTCAGAAGAAAATGGAGCATCACTTAACCTTTCTAGCTTTGATGCTTCCAACAACCATCCAATCATATAATTACCAAATTCGGAACGTACGGTATGAGATGTCCACGTTTCATCCATTTATTGAATTCTGAAGCATCGTGTTTAAATCTTCGATTTAAATAGGCCCGATGTTTTCTGAATCATCTTGCCCCTTAAATGCTGCACAGTAGGCCTGGCCGTTTTGATATGTGTGACGCATCTTCGATGTGAAACATATCAAATAGACAAGAAAAATGATGGAGGTATATCCATCATTTTCCAGGATGCTTTCAAGAACTGGCTGTGTTGGTGTTAGATTAGATTAGATGGGGATTCCCCTATTTGATGGGGTGGAATTCCAGAGGGAAATTACCCTAACAACATAGTTTGAATTCCAGAGGGAATTTCCGAAAAGGGCGTGGGGCCCCCAGAAACAGAGTTTCAGCTACGGAGTTTTTAATTTGGTGACCTCCTTAAAAAGGGTAGGTCTCCAAAAGGGGGTCCCTTAGTTGTTTAGTGACTGTCTAAATACTGTCATTTTATTGGAGAATTCCGTTTTCGTTGCGTTGGTCTGTATAGTTGCTGGGTGGTTGGTTGTGAGATTCAGGTTCCGAGTGTGACTGGTATGGTGGTGATGGTGAGCTAGGTGATCAGATTAGATCGAACAACCCAGCTTCCCGCAGCTAGAAGGGTTGTAATTCTGGTAGGATCGTTACCGAGAGCATCGCGGATGCTTAGCGGGATGTCGTAGTGGGTTCTTGGTGATTCGTATTTCGGACAGTGGCAGATAATGTGATCCACCGTTTGTGGAATTCGGCATAGATCACATATCCTACAGGATGGTCCGTCTCCCTTGTAATTGTGGGAGATGTTTGTATGATTTGTTCGAAGTCGGGATACTATGACCTGCTCTCGATGTAACGGTGGGTCCACCCACTTGGAGAAGAGACCTTTTAATTTTTCTGATGGCAGGAGTTTCACTGGCCGCCCAATCGCGAGCCCAACCTTCGTTGGTGATTTTTGATACCCATTTTTTTAGGTTCGGACCAGCTACAATTCGCGTGTACTGCAATGACCTGAGTTGGCTAGTTGGTCCACTTTTACGTTTCCATGGACCCCGCAGTGTCCAGGTATCCACACAAAGACTGTGTTGTTTGGCGCGTGTTCCTGTATCGCCTGGATCAAAGGGTGTTTGCTCGTATCGGCTACCACACCAGCGAAGATGGCTACACACAGAAAAATTGATTTTTGTTTCAGGGCCTAATGTATTTTGTTATTGATTCAAACATATTGTATCACTATTTCAACGAAACATATTTTTGAATCAACAAAATGGTTTTTAGAACCAACAAACAGATTATTGACTCTACAACCGGTTTGTTGATTCAAAAATATTTTTCTTTGAATTAACCGAATAATATATTTGAATCAATACCAAAAATATATTAGGCCCTGAGCCAAAAATATATCCATTTGAATTTAAAAATCATTTCTCTGTGTGTATTGGTCGTCGGGAATGGTGACTGCAATAAAGGCGGCAATGGCTTCCGCAGAGTAAATGGAGCACTGATCCGGGAGTCTATGGCATTCCGCGAGGTTTGGGTCGAAAATCCTGATTCCTACCTTTCCCTGGGCTACCAAACCATCCGAGTACCGAATGGTGTATCCTCCGTATTTTCGGTTCTGGAGTTCGAGTACCGCTTGTGCCACCGCTGAAGGATTGGCACCAGCTCTGAATTGGTGTTTGATTGTGTGGTCGGTCAGAATCTTCGGCTTGTTCCAACCTCTCGCTCCGACCCAGTAAACCGTGGATATTGGGGGGATAGTCTGGTTGGATGCTTCCCTGAGTGAATTGTTCGACTCCGTGAGGAGGGAATCTTCCTCGTCGTCTCCTGATGTCTGCTGGAAAAATGCGGTGGCTCGTTGGCAGATAGTTTTGGAGATGAAGCGATAAATCAGTCCTCCTTCGATGCAAGCAGCTATTCCGGGGGTAGCTGGCAAAAGACCCGAACAGATTCGGAGAGATTGTTGATAGACCGCCGCTAGCTTATCGATCAATCGGGGCTTGGCAACGAACGTAGCTTCGACTCCGTAGGTTTAGCGTGAGTTGATGATGGCATTCGCCACGTTCAGTTGGGATCTTCAGTTGGCATTTGGATGTCGTCCCGCTAGAGTTTTGAGCTGGTTGATACGCTGTTAGTGTGTGTCGAAGGTGAGATGTCGTTTTCCGAAACGGAATTGGGTCTTCTTTGATGCAGACTTTGGTGCTGAGGACTTGGTGTTTTATCGGACAGATAAGGGTGAATCCGCTCTTAGTAGCGGACAGCTGGAAGCCGGCCGACGAGGTCCATGTCGATACGTAGGTGATGGCCTGAATAAGCTTTCTTCGCAGTGCCTTCACCGTTTTCTTGAAAGCCATTAGGACGATGTCGTCCGCGTTCCAACTGGTAACCGCGTGAAGACATCGTTCATCCGAATGAGGAAAAGGGTAACGGCGATCTGAATTTTCCGTTTTTCCCGGTTCACTGAGGACCCTGTATAATGAGATTAGCTCGTCATATCAATTCGTTCAAAATCTGTCCGCCTCGGATACCTGCCCAAAGTCTCCTAACACCTCGCATGATAAATGGCCTATTAGCGTGCAATTAACGACTTTCCCCAAAAAAAAAAACGACGTTCAACATTCGAAACGCTGCTTAGTATAAAGAGCTGAACTATGCCGCACATTCAGCTTTCGTTAACCAAGTACGAAGATGATAAAAATAACAATCTTTATCTTGTTCGGTGCAATTGTTTCGGTTCGTTGTGAGTCTACCATACTAGAAGCCCGGCAGTTAGCCTATCCGCCATACTTTCATTCCGGTAGGGTAAGATCGTTGCAGCTGTTCAAAAGCATTTTTAATAAACCATAACAATTTCAGTCGCCTATCCATTCGGTTATGGCTGGGCTATAGCGGCCTACGTGCTGGCGGTGTTCAAGGCAGTGTTCGTGTTCAGTATGTTTGTGATTGGAACCTTCTACGAATCAGGATTCACCCGACAGAGGGATGCTAGAGAAAACGATCATCACGAGAATCTGTGGATGGATTTGATTGGTCATTTTGCAACAGCGAATGCAACGGCCGACTGTTGGCGGGAAGTGCAGTGCGAAGCGGAAGCGTACATGGTTAGTAACACGCTCTTGCGGATTCTATCTGGATTTGGTAAAGGAATAGAAAGTGATTGCAAAAGGGCCACGTCGAGGGGTGGCTGCAAAGCAATTACATTCAAAGATGTGATTTTAGGAAACTTCAAATCGATGTACGCTAAAGGTGCTTCATTGCTTAATACATTTTTACACGATCGTCTTAGCTAAGGAAAGGATTTCTTTCACTACATATCTAAAGAAAGTCCATTTACAACATAGAAATTCTCTGTTCACACTCTTGACGGACATCACCGTCGATTTGACTTGATTCTTCGTTCTCATCGTCCTGCACCACTTCCGGCACATCGCTATCTTCTTCGGCAGCCGAGGCATCGCTGTCTGTCGTCTTCAGGTAAGATTCGTAGACCTTCTCCAGAGTATCGATCCGATCCCGGTAGCCGTGATTATTGACCAGATGTTCCGCGTAGTCGGCGGGACTTTTAGTCGTTAGGACACAGTGCGGGCACATCTTTTGTCCGATTTCATTCGAGAGCATCGAATGGAGCTGCATGTGAGTGATGAAGTGGTCCAGCTCACGGTACAGTTGTTCGCATATCTCGCACCGGTATTCACCTCCCAGAGGGAGGCAGCTTTTCTCGTGCTGTTTCAGTTCCCGTGTGGAAATAAACTCCCGCGGGCAGGAGGGATTCGTACACCGGTGATAGGTGAGCTCGCCCATGTCCTTGTGCACCTTGACGACGTGTTCGGCGAAGCTGTCACTGGTTTTCATCGACAGCAAACACAGTGTGCATGCCAGGGGGCCCTTGTGGATGCGCATGTGAAGCTGAAGGGAACCGAAGGAGGTATAAAATAATAAGATTTTTCCGATGATGAACAAATCGATACATTTCCATTTTTAAAATAAAAGAACCTAATTCAAGACAACCAATGCACATGATGTCATATGTATTATCTTCATCGACTTTCCTTTCCGTTAATAACTCGGCTACACAAACGTTTCCAACTGGTTTTATTAATTAAGGTGCTACAGATAACACCTTTTATTATCGATCTGTATTGTTAATTGACTCCATCTACATGGAGTTTTCAAAAGCTGGTGCACTGGAAATTAATTTTTTTAGAGACTCGCCAAGAGTTTTGAAGGTATGATGTCTTTAGCAAAGTCGAATAAAATGTGGACCCTAAATTCAGGTCAAAACTTTCGTAGATGGCCAAGGATAAGATTTTAAGGGCAAGAAAGTCATACGAAGCAAGAGTGCGCCCTCAATGTTGCGAATGGCTTCTTTATCGAGACAGAAGATATACAATTTTGCGAAAATACATAAACGGACGTTAGGAATAGACATGCGGTATTGCAAGAAGAAACTCAAATAAGGAAAACATATAGGAAAATTGAAGACGCAAAGAAGTAAAGTGTAAAATTACACAGGAAATGATTGCGGCGACACTAGAATTCCTACTTACCAGCAGTTCCGGCCAGGTGCTCTCGACCTTGCCGCAGTGGAAGCAAACGTGCACCGTCCGCGATAGTTTTTGATTCTCGGTGGTATACTGGGGATGTGATACCAGATTGTGTTCCTCCAGTTGTTTGCAGCTGGAAAATCGTACCGAGCAAGTGACGCACTTGAAATAGTAGTTCTCAGCTGGATTCTTGTGTATTTGCATGTGATTGACCAGGGCGAATGCCGAATGGACCTGCGTTGGACAGATCGGACAGGTGAGATGCTCTAACTTGGAGTGGGTCAACAAATGCGGCATCATGTCCCGATGAACCCGGAACCGGGTCGGACAGTATCGGCATTGATGGGGGAAATTCGGTTGCTTCGGGTGTCTCTTCCGGTGCTTCAAGAACGATACCATCGAAAAGAATTTACCATAACACTCCAAACAATGGTGCATGGAATTTTTCGTTGATAGGAAACCCCTCACGTTTCGTGGCATGTATGGAGATGTGGCAATCGGAATCGATTTTGAAACCTTCTTCTTAACCTTTTTCGGTTTTGCCTTTGGCCTAGGCGGCGCATGATAAGCATGTTCAGCGATATGATATGGCGCGTTGCAATCCTCTCCTTCATCCGCTGTATCCGTTTCTGACGTTGAATGTTTCCGATGTCTTCTTCGTTGAGTTCCGTCTCGGATTTGAACCATTGGTTCCACAAGGTCTTCGTCCGTTTCATAATCATCCTTCATCGGAAAAGGCATCCCCATAATTGGATCGTCATCAAGATGAACCGTCTGATCATCGTCCGGTTCGATGTCCAGTTCTTCTTCCTTGATTTCAATCTCCTGGTACAGATAATCGTGATTCGAATCGTCGCAGTCTTCCCGGTCGATGCCGATCAGTTCGCCATCGTTTTCATTAACCTCATCCTGTCTAATTTCTTCGAAAAGTTGTTCATCTACAAAATCGATATCATCGACTAGGTGTTGCGCTTCAGGAGACTGCTGTTCCTGTTCGAGTTCTGCAACTGGTTCTGTCGAAGCTTCCACATATGGCTCTTGTTCTTCATAAGCTTCTGCAACTGGTTCAATCAGAGCTTCCACCGCTGATTCTTGCTGATCCACTGCTGATTCTAATTCTTCTGCTGGAGTTTCCGTGGCCGGTTCCAGATGCTCTGCAGCGTCGAGGACTGCCTCTGCAGCAGTCAAAGCATCCAGAACTAGTTCTGAACTTCCTGGTTCCTCCGGAACGTAGGCTGCAAAGTTATGGGTCAGTAGTAAGAGTAAGCCAATTTTGTACATAGCCATGACTTACCTTCCTCGGTTTCCACTACTTCTTCCCTGTGTTCTTCATCAGATCCGTCTACCAACGGTTCCATTTCGTCGTTGGAGTCCATCCCAATACTTTGTTTTTCGGAAATTTAAGCGAAATCAAGACGATAAAACTGTTGCCGCCGAAGAAAGCTGTAGCTTTTTTTCTGTTTTCAAAACAAGCGAACTATCATCGTTTGACAAGTTCAACCCGTCAAATGACGTTTTCTTCTGCTCTCGGGAAAAGTCTTGGCAGGGATGCCAGATACTCGTCTAATTCACGGAATCTTTTACAGTCCAAATTCGCTGGTTGGGCTTTTAATACACTCAAAAAATATTGAAAGCTAAATAGTATAAAAGTTACGCCATTACGGGCATCTTTAGCGGTGATCTGATCAAGATCCAAATTTATGTCACATTTGAACCAGCTAAAATTAAAAAGATCAAGCCAAAATAGATCAAACTGTGTGCGAACGCACCGGTTGGTCTATTTTTGGCCGTTCTATTTCATACGTTAAACCCCGACTCAAAACCAACTCATTGACGAGTGCACGGATGGATTTGAGTTCACTCACTCGACAAAAAGTGACACAACAGTGGGGCCCTGTTTACTAAAAATGAACCCATGAATAGTGCTCGCGTAACATTTGAAAAGGGCCGTGAAAAACAGGTTGCCGGGGATCTGTTTGAAGTCGGCCTACACATATGTTTCGTCGTCCATGATGCAGCATTCAACTTTCGTCAGCATGTTGAGGTACAACTTCCTGGCACGGGTTTTGGCGGACTTGTTCTGCTTCTCGTCGCGATTAGGGGCCTTTTGTACCTTGAACGTTCGAAGCCCAGCCTTAGTTTTGGCCTTCTGGACAAAACTTCGGCTTAGGTGCAGCTTCTTAGCCACATCCCTAACGGAGGCGTTCGGATTTCGGTTGAAGGCCCCAACTACGCGGTTGTGATTTTTGGTGTTGTACGGAATACTTTTTCCTTCACTTCTGGGCTTCCGATCGGTGGTCAACCGTTCATCGAACCGCTTAATCACTCGCGACACCGTGGAATTCGCGATTCCCAACGTTTTAGCGATGGAACGATGCGAGAGATCCTTGTTCTCGTGATGAATGCGCAAGATTTTATCACGCACGAGCTGTTCTTTCGACTCCATTTCCGCGAGTTTTGATCACAGGACTTTGAAACTTGCAGGATGTAAATAATGCACTATGAACTAAATCCACCCAAATTTTCATTAAATTCTACCTAATGGTTAAAAAGTTAGAGCAATTTCATCGTGGACACCCTTTAAAGTCAAAAGCATGTTTAATTCAACAATATATAATTTGGGTAAACGATTTTTAGCGTACCCTGCATTTTTTCCTTCTTGTTTACATTCGGAAAAAAATTGCCCCAGCTTTGACAATCAACTGATAACGGCCCGCAACAAAACCGATGTCATGGATGCGGAAACCCACCTCCTAGGTAAGTATCTTAACAAAGGGAAACGAAAATCCGAAATGGATTTTGAATCTATTCCGGATCCCCTGATAAAGTAATTTCTTCCTGTTTGCTTCGAGCTTTTCTCTTTGATCTTCTCTCCTGCCACAAGCAGATCCGAAACATCCTCCTCATTTGCACTTGCCTTGTGTTCTTGCTCTTTCCGTAATAGCTCCAACTTTTTCCGCTCATTTTCCATTCGCTTCGAAACTTCAGTAAGCTTTATCATAATCACACAATCCTGACTCGACTGATTAATTTTTTAGATCAACTTCTTACTAAAATCAGTGCTGCATTCATCCTCCTTTCTTACCGAACTCAACGGTTTCTCCTCATCATCATCTTCTTCCGATTCCTGCATTTCCAATCCTACATTAAATTTTCAATAAAACTGAATTCGGGATCTTCTTGCAGATCGTTTTTTTTTTCATCTCTTGACAATCCATTTTTCTGCTTTATCCTACATTTAAAATTAAGTATGTTTCTTTCAAACATAAGAGCATGTTTAAAATAAACATATTTATTTTTGTTCGCATAGTTGTCAAACCAAACAAAAATATTCACGTTTATTTTCAATACGAATATTTTTAAAATAAATGTAACATTATTTTTATTTTAAACATTTATATTACATGACTTCAAACATGGAATATGTTTGAAATAAACCTTGTTTATTTTTGTGGCCAGAAAAAACTGAGTTTACGTTTAAATCTACCTCAAATATTTTTGTTTCAACGATATTTTTTCCTGCGTGCCAACAAACTCTGTAGGTTTCTTATGGCTTGTTTACGTTTGGAACCAGTTATCCCAGTTATGCGAGGTAGGCGACGATTGTTCGTATTTGACAGCCACCTCCCCCCTTCTTCACACCCTGATTTCGTGGTCAGCCATGTTTTAATCTCGTGCGCATTCGTACACGGTTTTTATCCGGCAATTACCGTGAAATTGACCTCCGATGGCTGTCTCCGGGATTGATGTGCGGCTTTAACAAAAAGCCTTGAACTGCTCGTCCTCCTGCTCCTCGTGCTTCACAGTGAAATAATAACAAAAACCCTCACAAAAACCTGTATTAATTGAAATTTGTCTGGTATGTTGTTGCGTGTTGGGTTTTGGCTCAAGTCAGAAACTGGATAATTCCCTGGGGGGTACCCGGAACATACCATGTGGCCAATGTGGATCTGGACACTATATTTGACTTAAACTGATCTTGTTTTTCAATTTTTGTGAGATTTTATGTGTCAAATCACAGGGTTTGGACCATATAAAACTAGTCACTTCCCTAGGGGTTCCTGAAAGATGTCTGGAAGTAAGAAAGGTGGTCCTGGGTACATTATTTGACTTCCATTGATCGTTGTTTTGAAATCTAATGTGATTTTCTATGTGGCGCATGATGGGTTTTGGATTAAATCAGAAACTGGTCATTTCCTTGGAGGTGCCCGGAACATATCCGATAGGGGTCAACGTGATTCTGTGCACTATATTTGACTAACATTGATATTGCTTTTGAAATCTAATGTGATTTGATGTGTCACATGATGAGTTTTGGACCAAATCAGAAACAGGCCACTTCCCTGGGAGTTTCCAGAACATGCCCGGAAAATCCTGCAGAACAGAAGCGTCCGGATGTTTCCCTTGTAATCTTTTCGCAGCTGCAACGACAGGGCCGGCAGCAACAGCAGCACCGATAGCGCGATAGAGCTGGAACTACACCAATGTCAACAGCACGTTTCTTAGAAAATCGAGGAACTAAATCGGTTTGATTTGCAGAAAAAACCCCAACAACGAGACAAATCAAAACAAAATCTCGAGTGCGACAACTGTCAAACTAGTTTGGAACAGTGCTTGCCTTGATCCAAATTCAGTTCAAAATAGACCGAGAATTATACTGGTAAAAAAATTACATTTTACAACTAGTCTAAAACAAAATATAGACCACCAGTGCAAGGGCTCGGTCTGGGTCTGTTCCAAAATGTTAGACCAAACCAACCAATTGCATTGCCGCTAAAGATGCCCTAACTCTCCGTGCCGACGCAAAGGTCGGTATAAAGGGAGAGAATGCAAACTTAGTATACAAATGATTTATGTCTGCCATAGTATAAAAATCAAAATATACTTGCAATGCATATATACGGTTTATTCGAGAGAATTTATTTATTGCTTCTCTATTTTATTTATGGTAAATATTATTGTTTTCAAATAAAAATAAAAATTGTCTCAGGAAGGTTATTTTTTTTTTCCAGGCTCATTTGCCGTAGCTTTGCGGAGCCGATATTCATTGTTTGGATGACAAAATTTCTTAAAACTAACGTTAGTAAAGCGGGGGCCGATTACTCGCGGCTATCTCGAGGTTAGGGGTAACAAATTGTAACAAATGGATGGCAGGGTAGGGATTGAGAACACAAGGTTTGGAGAGCAATGTGCTTTTTATCTCGAACTAAGCGACCAACTGACGAAAAAGACAAACATGGGGGTACACCGATGGGCAGCTAACAACTTGGGGGAACACAAGATGACACTAAATACTAAATCCTCAGATCGATCCGTTTTAAAAACACATAAATTAAATTAAAATATTCGAGATCTCGGCTCGCCAAAATGTCTCAGATGCGGATAACTCGGATCTAGCAACACAATGTAGGGTGCATGACCAAAGCACGTGGTCGATATCGTGATAGCCACTACCACAAGCGCACAAATTGCTGCCTGCGAGCCCGATTCGGAAGAAATGCGAGTCTAACGAGTAGTGATTGGACATGAGCCTCTATATGACACGTATAAAGTCACGGCTCATGTCCAATCCTTTGAACCATGGCTTGTTCGACACCTGTGGGAGAATAGAATGTAACCATCTTCCCAGATCACTCTCATTCCATTTTTGTTGCCAGTTGGTGAGGACGTGCTGACGGGTAATTGAGAAAAATTCCGCAAAGGCGATTTGTCGATCAAAAATATCGCCTTCCATAGCGCCCACCTTAGCTAGCGAGTCCGCTTTCTCATTACCCGGAATTGAGCAATGAGATGGGACCCAAGCTAAGGTGATAGTATAGGAGCAGTTAGATAAAGTACTCAATTTTGCTCGGATTTCGGTCAGGAAATACGAGGAGTGCTTCATCGGCCTCATTGATCGAATAGCCTCCAACGAGCTAAGGCTATCAGTAAAAATAAAATAGTGATCAGATGGTAGTGAGGCAATTTGCTCTACTGCGTAAAATATGGCTGCTAGTTCCGCAACGTATACGGAACAGGGTTTTTGCAGTTGATATGAGGCGCTATGAAATTCGTTGAATACTCCAAATCCAGTGGAAGCGTTTATAGTTGACCCATCTGTGAAAAAACTCTTATTGTTACTAACATGGTGGTACTTGTTTGCAAAAATTAAGGGAACAACCATCGATCGATGGTGATCTGGTATTCCACGGATTTCTTGCAACATGGTCAGATCAAAATTTACAGAGGAACTATAAAAGTCTTGGAGGCAAACACGAGAGGAATTGAATGAAGAAGGGCCAATCTCCAGCGTCATGTACTCGTAATAGAGACTCATGAATCTTGTTTGAGGATTTCTGTCGAGCAGCTTCTCAAAGTTTTCTATTACTAATGGGTTCATTACTTCACAACGGATAAGAAACCGGAAGGACAGTTCCGCGAAACGATCTGTCAGTGGGAG